ATTAAAAGGAGGAAATATTTCGAGTTTTTTCATTATTTCGCCGACTTTTCGAAGTTTGGCGGCCAGATCTGCGCAGATCTGGCGATTCAGGTGGTGTCAGTGATGTGCTGTTCGCTGCGCAGTGTTCAATGCAAGCCAGTAAGATGTGTGTGAGGTTTCGGGTGTTTGAAAGCTCCAATTTAGAGTGTTGGAGGTGAAGCAAACAGCAGCAGCAGCAGCAGCAGCAGCAGCAGCAGCAGCACTACAATGTTGCATTGAAAGGTTATTTCCTCTCTTCTCAATAGCGAAACACTTTAGATCTAAATCTGTCGTATTTGGCTCTTCTTTTTCGTCTAGTTGATAGTAATGCAAGCAAGTATCGGGGGCTTCTTTCCCTTCAAGCTGCTGCAGCAGCAGCAGCAGCTGCTGCTGCTGCTGCTGCTGCTGCGCTGGGCCCCGCAGCGACTGTTGGCCCAGCGGCAGCCGCTGCTGCTGCAGCCGCTGCTGCTGCAGCTGCTGCTGCAGCTGCTCCTGCCGCAGCTCCTGCTGCAGCTCCTGGTGCAGTTGCTTCGGATGCAGTTCCTGCTGCAGCTGCTTCTGCTGCAGCTCGTGCTGCAGCAGCAACAGCTTCTGCTGCAGCAGAAGATTCAATAAGGTTTAATAACAGCAAGGAGAAATGGACTCATTGAATCGAAACCAAAGCAGAAACAGTTGGGAAGCAAATTATGAATTAAGAAATATCTAAGCTGCCAAAAAGGGCATTTAAAAACAAATTAGAATTAATTAGTTCAGTCAGAACAGCAGCAGCTAGCGCTAGCTAGCTGCATCCAGCTAGCTGTAGTTGGCTAGCTAGCTAGCTGTGGCTGGCTGGCTGGCCGTGGCTAGCTGGCTAGCTAGCTGTGGCTGACTGGCTGGCCGTGGCTAGCTGGCTAGCTGTGGCTAGCGGGCTTTCACAAGTTTCACTTTGAGACTTCAGGTTGAAGAAAGTTTGATTATTTTATTTGCTTAAATGCATATTAAATGAGAATAAAAAGTTTTATTCTTTTATTTCCTTAAATGTTTATTAAATGGAATAAAAGTTTTATTGTTTTATTCTCTTAAATGTTTATTAAATGGAATAAAAGTCTTATTGTTCTATTCTCTTAAATGTTTATTAAATGGAATAAAAGTTTTATTGCTTTGTTTTCTTAAATGTTTATTGAATGGAATAAAAGTTTTATTGTTTTATTTTCTTAAATGTTTATTAAATGAGAATAAAATAGGCAGCAAAGTCTGTTGGGTTTTGCTGCAGTTCAGTTCAAGTGTCGGAAACGTGAAAATTCCTGTTTCGCAATTTTTGCAAATTTCCACTTTTCGAGCGTTTGAGAACATAAAAAGAGCCACCAAAGAAGAAATTTTCATTTCTTTTATGAATTAAAAGTTATAAATTTTCATTTCTTTTGTGAATTAAAAGTTATACTTCGAAAAGGTTTCGTTTTTTTGCAAACATTTCAAGTTTTGGGCTCGGCTGCACCCGAGTTGCAGCTGCGCCAAGTGCATGTTTCTGAACAGCTCCGCCAATCCGAGGAAAGCCACGCGAAACCTCGCAAAAAAGAGATCAAATTTAGCGGGAAATGAATTTCTTTGTTTTAATTTAATGAATTTAATTGCATTTGGCGTTTGTTCGCGAGGATTCGCCGCTGCAGCGCCAACAAGCCACTGTCTGTCGTCCGTGGCGCCACCGGCTGCTGCTGCGGCACTTCCGCCGAATTTCGCGGAATAAAAGCGGAAAGCGGCGGTAAAAAATTGAAATTGAATTTTATAAAAAGCGAATTAACTCTCAAGCTTTTTGTTTTTGCGCAACTCGCAGTTTTCGCGGAGATCACCCCGGGCCGCTGGTCTCGACGGCGGCGCCAGTCTCGAGCCTCCCGCAGCCTCCGGCGCTCCCTTTGCTCTTCTACTCTAAAAAGAATAAATAATTCGAAAAGAATAAATAATTTAAAAAGGAAAGAAATTCGCACTCGAATTTCGACGAAGTCAAAAGCCTTTTCGCGGGCTGCCGGCAGCTTTCCAGTGGACACCGCCGAAACGGCGGCGCAACTCTCCAGCGGCTGAGACAAACTCAGTGGGCAAATAATAATCGATTTAATGCATGAATTTAATTATTTTCTTTTTTTATTCTTCAAAGAAAGTCAAATTAGCCGAAAAGACGCAACAGTGGCGACGCAGAAGATGGTCGATAGTCGGAAGCGCGCGGAAGCACTTCTTCGTTGAAAAGGTGGGGGAAAATGCGAGAAGTTGGGTTGAAATAAGTCTTTTCTTTTTCTAAATGCAAATTATATTAAATGGAGCTTCTTATTAGCCTTTATTTCTTCTTCTGCTTCCTTCTGCAGCAGCAGCAACTCTCATGTTCAAACCCCAGAGTGGTCTTCACCGCAAACAGGGCGTTGAAGGAAAGCACTTCAAGTAAGCAATTATCTCAGGTGTACAGACACTCCAAGACCCACTGCAGCAGATCCTTCCTGCGCCAGTTCACTTCGCTATTACTCTTCTTTCTTTCCTCTTGAACACCCCCTTCCGTCGCTGCTGCTGCTGCTGCTGCTGCTGCTGCTGCTGCTGCTGCAGTTGCTTTCTGAAGGCCCCATGGCGACTCTGGCGCCGCCCTCGAAGGGCCCCAAGCTTGGCAGCAAAAAGCTGCCGCCGCTGCTGAAGCCAGTGGGGCCCCCCCCCAAGAAGCCTCCCCAGGCATTCTTGGGGGCCCCCAAGCCCAAGGTACCCTCGGGGGGCCCCCCAGTACCCAAAGGGGGCCCCCTGGACGAGCCCGTCTCAAACCCTATTACCCCTTTAATATCCCCCGCGGCCTCTCCCCGGCCTCCGCCGCCGGGGGCCCCCCCCCAGGGGCCCCCAAAGGGCCCCAAGGGGGCCCCGCCGGGGCCCCCAAAGGGCCCCAAGGGGGCCCCCCCGGCTCGGGGGCCCCCCCCGCCTAAGAAGGGGCCCCTGGCCGCGGGGCGGGTCTCTCCGGGGGCCCCCCCGGACACGGGGGCCCCCCAACCCCCGGGGCCCCCACCAGGGTCTGTGCGGCTTCTAGATATGCTCAAAAGGAACTTAAATGCTTCCAAGGGGGCCCCCAAAGGCTTTAATTCTTCTTCAGAAATGCAGCAAAGGGTCTTTTTGGGGGACTCCCCAGCCCCCAGCGAGGCCCTCGAGGGGCCCCAGGGGGGCCCCCCTGCAACCCCTACTGCCAGCAGCCCCAGGGGGGGCCCCCCTTCTCCGAGAGACATTTGGGGCCCCCAGGACCCTTTTGGGGGCCCCCCGGAGTTGGGGGAAACAGCTGCAAGAGAGGAGTACCCTGGGGCCCCCAAGGGGGCCCCCCTGCTCCAAAAACCCAGCGGGGGGCCCCTGGGGCCCCTGGCAGGGGGGCCCCCCCCAGCCACTTCTTCCCTTTTAAGCAGCACTTGGGAAAAAAGGCAAGAAGGGGGCCCCCCTGACTTCTTAGAATCCAAAACAGATAAACCCACAGCAGCAGCAGCAGCAGCAGCAGCAGCAGCAGCAGCAGCAGCCAAGGGGGCCCCCGAGGACAACACGAACCCTGCTGCAGCAGACCCAGGGGCCCCCCAGACGGACCCCTATTCCTCAATGCTGCAAAACCTTTTTGTCACGGGGGCCCCCGGGGCCCCCGGGGCCCCCGGGGCCCCTGGGGCCCCTGGGGCCCCCGGGGGGCCCCCCTGTCCCATATGGGGGCTCAGCAGCAGCTGCTGCTGCCACGGCGGGGGCCTTTTAGTGGCAGCAGCAGCACCTCCAAGCAGCACATTAAGCTGGGGGGCCCCCTGGGGGGCCCCCTGGGGGGCCCCCCCACTTGCTGCTGGGTACCAGGGAGTTGGGGGCCCCTGTGTCCCGCCTGCTGCTTTAGTTGTGCCCCACAGCTGCTGCGCTGCTGCCCCGCAGCAGCAGCAGCAGCAGCAGCAGCACCACTGCCACCACCACCACCACGGGCAGCAGCAGCAGCAGCAGCAGCAGCCACCCGTCCCCGCAGCGCTTGACGTGAAGCTGAACTTCACAACAGCAGCAGCAGCAGCAGCAGCAGCAGCAGCAGCAAGAGGAACTGATGAATATGAAGACAGCGATCTAGGTGAGACACCCCGACGAGAGGCCCCGTTGGGGTGTACGTACACCCCACAAGTCGCTGACTCAGAGCTGCTGCTGCTCTGCTGCCTTTCTGCTGCCTTTCTGCTGCTGCACCGTTGCTGCGCTGCTGCTGCTGCTGCGCTGCTGCTGCGCAGACCCCCTGGACCCCCGGCGGTGCGCCCGGCTGCGGCGGAAGCAGCAGCAGCAGCAGCAGCAGCAGCAGCAGCAGCAGCAGCAGGAGCCGCGGTACGTGGCCGTGGGGGGCAGCGGGCAGCTGGGAATTGTGGGGCCGGGCCACAGCCGGGTGTACGTACACCCCGAGGGCCAGCCGCGGGGCTGTAGATACACCCGACACTACCAACTCCCCACAGTGTCTTCTTTGCTGCGGGCTGTGCTGCCGGAGTTTTTGCAAAAGAGGCCCTTAAAGATTCTTGGGGGCCCCCCCTGCTGCTGCGGGCCTTCGGGGGCTTCTTGCTGCTGCTCGCAGCAGCAGCAGCAGCAGCAAGCCGCAGCAGCAGCAGCAGCAGCAAGCTGCGCCCAACTCCCCCACGCCCACCTGCCCCACGCCTGCAGCAGACACAAAGCAGCAGCAGCAGCAGCAGCAGCAGCAGCAGCAGCAACCCCACACGCCCACCACGCCCCACACGCCCTCCAGGGGGGCCCCCCAGGCCCCCAGGGGGGCCCCCCCCCTTACCAGGGGCCCCCAGCTTGCCAGGGGCCCCCAACCTATATTGTGGCCAGCCTCCCGCAAGCTGCAGCAGCTGCAGCAGTACCCTCTTTCTCTTATGGGGGGGCCCCTCAGGGGCCCCCAAATGGGCCCTGGCACTTCAGCTACCCTCCAGGGGGGGCCCCCATGGGGGCCCCCCCTGGGCCCCCTGCTGCACTTCTTGTCCCTTCAGGAGGTATATGGAATGTACAAGCAGCAGCTCCAGGGGCCCCCGGGGGCCCCATGGTCCTGGGGGCCCCTGGGGCCCCGGGGGCCCCCATGGCCCCGGGGGCCCTGGGGGCCCTGGGGGCCCCGGGGGCCCCCATGGCCCCGGGGGCCCCCATGGCCCCGGGGGCCCCGGGGGCCCCCAGCAGCTGCTGCTATGCCCCGGCACCCTTGCAAGTTTGTGGGGCCCTTTATGGGGGCCCCCCAAGCCCTGCTGTTGTTCCCCAAGCTGCAGCAGCAGCAGCAAACTGCGCGGGGGGCCCCCAGGGGGGGGGGCCCCCCCCTGGAGCTGCGCAGTGGGCTGTGGGGCAGCAAGGGGCCCCTGCCCAGCCCCCAAGTGGGGGGCCCCCCGGGGGGCCCCCAGAGGGTACTGGAGCTGCTGGGGAACAGAGCCAGACAGGGGGGCCCCCAGGGTTAAGTAAAGAGGCGCTGCAGCGGCCTGCGCAGGTCAAAGCGCTGTGGTGAACCTGCCAGCAGCAGCAGCAGCAGCAGCAGCAGCAGCAGCAGCAGCAGCAGCAGCAGCGACTTTCTGTCATTTGGCTTTTGTGTTTTTGTTTTTTTCTTTTTCACGTGAAGTCTGTTGCTGCTGAGGAGCAGCAAAGGAGCAGCAAAAGGCTCACAATGCATGCAAAAAGAAGCAAAGAATTTGGAATTAATTCTTTTTTGCATTTGCTTTTTTCTTTTCAAACAAAATTAAAACTCCAAGTTCTATTTAGTCTTTGGAAGATAATCAAATGCAGCGAAAGCCAAAAAGGACCCAAAGTTGAATTAAATGCTAGCTAGCTAGCGAGGTGGCTAGCTAGCCAACTCGCTAGCTAGCTAACTACCTCTCTAGCTAGCTAGCTAACTGGCTAGCTAGCTAATTGGCTAGTTAGTTAGCTAGTTAGTTAGCTAGCTAGCTAGCTAACACTACAGTGCGCAGTTTGTGAATCTTGAGATTTCAAGATTCACAATCTGCGCACTGTAGATCTATTTAAAAAATAAATAATGTAAAATAATATATAATTATGTTTATTGAATAATATAATATATTCTTTTCATGAAATCTATTTAAAAAATAAATAATGTAAAGTAATTTATAATTGTATTTATTTATATAATATATTCTTTTCATGAAATAAATCTGTTTTCTTCTTTTTTGTTTCAGCTTCCACTCGCGGTGTAGAGCCTGCTGCAGCAGAGTGTACGTACACCGCAGCAGCTCTATTTCCTGGAGGGGGAAAACAAAAAATGAAATGCATGTCACTGCTGCAGCAGTGAGCTCCGGAGGGGTTGTTCTGCAGAGTTGCTGCTGCTTCTCTTTTTGCTGCTGCTGCTGCAGCAGCAGCAGCCGTAACAAGTGCAGCACGACTCAGAAGGAACTGCGGCTGTTGGCAGCAGCAAATAAAAGAGCTGCTGCTGCTTGCTGCTGCCGCAGCAGCAAGCAGCAGCTTGCTGCTGCTCTGCGGCGTTGCTGCTGCACCTCTTTTTGCTGCTGCTGCTGCAGCAGCAAAAAGAGATGCAGCAGCAACTCTGCAGAACAACCCCTCCGGAGCTCGCTGCTGCAGCAGTGACTCTGCCTCAATATGCCTTTCTATGAGCTTGTTTGGGTAAATATAAATAAATAAAAATGCATATTTAATATTTATATAAATAAAAATATTTATTTAATATTTATTTGCCTTTTAAAAGACATTTCTGCAGCTGTATTTATGCACACAAAGACACAGAGCCACTCCTGTTCAGCGCATAGCAGCAGCAGCAGCAGCAGCAGCAGCAGCAGCAGCAGCAGCAGCAGCAGCAGCAGACGCGAACGCGAACTGCTGCAGTTAAGCGCAGCCAAAGGGAAATTAAAAGATATTTAAAAACAAAATAAATTAAAAAAAAGATTTAATGCCACAAAACTGAATTTCAATCTTTATTTCAATTCGGAATTCTGGGGCTGCGCCGACGCATGCAGAAAGCCCTGCAGCAAATCAATGAACTTGAAGGAAAGTTCAAAAAGACTTTTTTTTTGTTTTTATTTATTTCATTTATTTTATTTATTTTAAATATTTATTTGCAACTTTGCGGAGTTTTATTATTTTGAATTTTGCTGCTGGCAGGCAGCAGCAACCCCACCACCATCACCACCTCCCACCCGATCACTTCTTTTGTCTTCAACTTTATTTTCTTTTTCGAAAACAAAAACAATTGAAATGAAATAAAATATTATTTTCAAGTTTTTGTCTACAAGTAGGAAGTCCCGGGGGAAGAAACAAATAGTCAGCAGCAGAGCAAAAGGAAAAGCAAAAGCAGCAGCAGCAGCAGCAGCAGCAGCAGCAGCAGCAGCAGCAGCAGCAGAGGAGAATAGATCCCTCTCATACTTCTCCCTCTGCTGCCCCCTGCGCAGCAAACAGTGCCGCACCCCCCGAAGCGGAGCACTGCTGCAGCGAAGCAGCAGCAGCGGCTGCAGCCTTTGCTGCTTCTCCGGCTGCTGCTGCTGCTGCTGCTGCTGCTGCTGTTGCTGCTGCTGCTCCCATCCACAGATGGACGCTGCGTTCTTCACTGGCCGCAAGCGAGCCCATAAAAGCTCCCCCCAAGAGCTCACAGGCGCTGCAGCTTCTAGTCATGCATCAAAGCAGCAGCAGCAGCAGCAGCAGCAGCTGCAGCAGCAGCAGCAGCAGCAGGTGCTGCTGCACCAAGGGCGACGGCTTGGGAGCCTCCGGCAAAGACACCCGAGAAGGCATTTGTCCCTCAGCATGCGACTAAGGAAAAGGTCCTCTCGCAGCATTCCTGTAGATTCAAACAGGCCCAGCAGCAGCAGCAGCAGCAGCAGCAGCAGCAGCAGCAGCAACAGCAAGAGCAGCAGCAGCAACCGCAGCAGCAGCAGAGGGAGGCAGACCGTGTCTTCTCCTGCTGCAGCAGAAGGCGCAGCAGCAAGGCAGCAGCATGAGTCTCTAGTGGAGGTGCAGCAGCGGCTGAATAGCGCCCCGCTGCAGCAGCTGCTGCAGCAGCAGCTGCAGCGGCAGCGGCAGCAGCGGCAGCAGAAATGGAGAGAGAAGCAAAACTCGAGAGACACACAAAAGACCCAAGAGACGCAGCAGCTGCAGGCTCTGCAGCAACGATTTGCTGCTGCTGCTGCTGCTGCTGCTGCAGTGCCACACCAGTCGCCTACGACAGACGCAGCAGCAGCAGCAGCAGCAGCTACAGCAGCAGCCGGGCTGCTAGCGAGAATTCGAGCTAGCAAGAAAGCTGGCCGCAGCATCGCGGAAACGCAGCAGCAGCAGCAGCAGCAGCAGCAGCAGCAGCAGCAGCAGCAGCAGCAGCAAGCACACATCGCCTATAGTCGCTGGGGGCTGCGGACTTCTCCGCTACGATGGGGCAGCAGCACGAGCAGCAGCAGCAGAGAGAGCAGCAACAGCAGCAGCCTGGGTCGAAAGCATGCCAGCAGCATAGACATGGATGGCTTGAAAGGCAGCAGCAGCAGCAGCAGCAGCAGCAGCAGCAGCAACAGCAGCAGCCTGCTGCAGCACTGGACCTTTCGTGAAATGCGCTGGTGCCTCATGAGGGACTCATCACCTGGCAGTGAAGACGGCGAGAGTGTCTATACACTGCAGCAAGGGCAGCAGCAGCAGCAGCAGCAGCAGCGGGAAGAAGGGCAGCTGCTGGGGCGGCAGAGAGCAGCAGCAGCAGCAGCAGCAGCAGCAGCAGCAGCGAAAGCACCGAAAGCAGCCACAGAAGCTGCTGCACCCAGCAGCTGGGAAGAACTTGCTGTTTGCAGGAGCAGCCCCATTAGCAGCAGCAGCAGCAGTCACAGCAGCAGCAGCAGCAGCAGCCACTGCTGCAGCCAGAGCAGCAGCAGCAGCAGCAGCAAGCCCAAGGCTTCAACAAGAGACTGTGGGGTCCAGGTGTCTCTACACCTGGAGAGCAGCACAGCCTTCGCCAGCCCACCAAACAAAAGCTTGAGGGACATCAGATTAACTGCTGCTTCTGTCTCTCCTGTTGCTGCTGCTGCAGCAGCTGCTGAGTTCAGCCCTGCTGCTGCTGCTGCTGCTGCTGCTGCTGCCATCACGGTAGATACAAGCAAGGCAGCAGCGGGCTCTCTGCTGCCTTTGATAAGAAGCTGCAGCCGCCATTCAGAGGATTTCCAGTTGCCTCCGTCTGCAGCAGCAGCAGCAGGAGCAGCAGCAGCAGGAGCAGCAGCAGCAGGAGCAGCAGCAGAATCTGCAGCAGAAACTGCAGCAGAAACTGCGGCAGAAGCTGCAGAAGAAGCTCCAGCAGAAGCTTCAGCAGAAGCTGCAGCAGAAGCTTCAGCAGACGCTTCAGCAGAAGCTGCAGCAGCTGCTGCACCAGAAGCTGCAGCAGATGCTGCAGCAGATGCTGCAGCAGCAGCTGCAGCAGAAGCTGCAGCAGATGCTGCAGCAGAAACTGGAGCCGAAGCTGCAGCAGCAGCTGCGCCAGAAGCTGCAGCAGAAGCTGCAGCAGCAGTTGCAACAGAAGTTGGAGCAGAAGCTGCAACAGAAGTTGGAGCAGAAGCTGCAGCAGAAGCTGCAGCAGAAGCTGCAGCAGCTGCGGCAGAAGCTGTGGCAGACGCTGCAGCAGAAGCTGCAGCAGAAACTGCAGCAGTTGCTGCAGCAGAAGCTGCAGCAGAAGCTGCAGCAGCAGCAGCGGAAGGACCACTGCTGCTGCCAGGTCTAAAATTGCAAAGTGAAGAAAAAGAAGAAAGTGAGAAACTCATTCAGCCTTTGGATCACCGGAAGCTTGAAGTAGCTGGGGTGTACAGACACCTGAAAGAGAGCAGCAGCAGCAGCAGCAGCAGCAGCAGCAGCAGCAGCAGCAGCAGCAGCAAGAGCAGCAAACTGTGGCGATATGTAAGCACTCCAGCTGTGGCTGCCCACGCTGCAGCAGCAAGAGGACCAGTGGACCACAAGTCCGAACAACTGCTGCTGTCGGCCGGCCAGAGCAGCAAGGCCTCATTCCACAAGAGCAGCAACCATGGCAGCAGCAGCAGCAGCAGCAGCAGCAGCAGCAGCAACCGGAGGTGCAGCAGCAGCAGCAAGAGGCCGCCAGCAGCGCCTAAAGGCATTCCTCTTGCCTCTCTTATGAGGCAAAAATATTCCAGGTGGAGGCCACCAGGAAGAAGAGAAAAAGCAGAGTCTAGTAACTGCAGCAAGCAGCAGCAGCAGAGAGATCAGCAGCAGCTGCTGCAGCAGGAGCGACAGCTGCAGCAGTGGCTCATGCCGCTGCAAGAGGAGCTGCAGCAGCTGCAGCACGACGAGCAGCTGCAGCAGATGCTGCTGCCGCTGCAAGAGGAGCTGCAGCAGCTGCAGCACGATGAGCAGCTGCAGCAGATGCTGTTGCCGCTACAAGAGGAGCGGCAGCAGCGGCAGCAGCTGCAGCAGCTGCAGCAGCTGCAGCAGGAGCAGCAGCTGCAGCAGTTGCTGCTGCCGCTGCACGACAAGCGGCAACAGCTGCAGCAGGAACAACAGCTGCAGCAGTTACTGCCGCTGCAAGGGAAGCGGCAGCAGCTGCAGCAGGAGCAGCGGCTGCAGCAGCTGCTGCTGCCGCTGCAAGAGGAGCGGCAGCAGCTGCAGCAGGAGCAGCAGCTGCAGCAGCTGCTGCTGCCGCTGCAGCAGGAGCAGCAGCAGCTGCCGCTGCTGCTGGGCCAAGAATATCAAGAGCCGCAGGATTCGAGCTGCAGTCTGGAGGAACTGAAGAGCAGCAGCAGCAGCAGCAAATCGGCGTCGAGTCTGGGGTGTATAGACACCTCAAGTTGCCACTTTTCTCTCAAAAACTCTGAATTAAAACTCACAAAAATAAAAAGTCTCAGCAGCAGCAGCAAGCAGAGAAGGGGGGCCCCCGGGGGCCCCCGCAGGGCTCGGAGTCGAGAGAGGCGGTGGAGGGTGCAGGAGCGAAGCCGAAGAAGCCGCAGCAGCAGCAGCAGCAGCAGCAGCAGCAGCAGCAGCAGGAAGCTTTTGGGGGCCTCTTATGTGTCTGCAGTGATGAGGGATTTGGCAAGAAGGGGAAAGAAAGGAAAAGAAGGCCTCGGAGCAGCAGCAGCAGTGGACCACTCAGTGGACCACTGGTCACGCCGGGGGGCCCCTGCGGGCTGCAGCAGCAGCAGCAGCAGCAGCAGCAGCAGCAGCAGCAGGGGGCCCCCTGCTGCTGGGGGCCCCTTGGAGTTGCATGCAGCAGCAGCTGTGGGGCCCCCTGAGAAGCTCTGCAGCCTCCAGAGCCTTGCTGCCAGCGCCGTCTTTGCCTCGGTGAGATTTTCTTTTTTCTTTTTCTTTTTTTTATTTTCTTCTTTTTTCTTTTATTTTCTTTTTTTCATTTTCTTCTTTCTTCCTTCCTTTCTTCTCTTCCATTTCTTCTTTCTTCTTTATTTTCCTTTTCAAGTTTTTCCTCCTTTTTCTTTTTTTTTCTTTTCAATTTCTTCTTTTTTCTTTCTTTTCTTTTCTTCTTTTCAATTTCTTCTTTCTTCTTTCTTTTTTTCTCCCTTTCTTCTTTTTTGTGTCCTGCAAATTCGCAGTCTTTGCTCTTCTGCGGTGATGCACTTCCAACAATTTCAAATATGTATTTAGCCCTTCTCTATTACACATATAGCTGGGGTCTGGCTAGCTAGCTAGCTAGCTAGCTAGCCACCTGGTCAGCTAGCTAGCGAGCCAGCTGGATTGCTAGCTATCAAGCTAGCAAGCTATGTAGCTACCTAGCAAGCTAACTAGCTATGTAGCTAGCTAGCTAGCTGGCTAGCTAGCTAGCAAGCTAACTAGCTATGTAGCTAGCTAGCTAGCTAGCTATGTAGCTAGTTAGCTATGTAGCTAGCTAGCTGGCTTGCTAGCTAGCTATCCAGCTTGCTTTCTTGTCGCTAATGAGAAGCAACTTCTCCCCCCAGCGCTGCGACTCAGCGCTGCACTGCAGCAGCTTCGTTTTCACTTTTATTATCTGCAGCAGCTTTTTATTTAGAGTCCTGTGTGCTGCTGCTGCTGCTGCTGCTCACTTCGCCCCTTTGGCTGTTTGCTGCTGCTGCTGCTGCTGCTGCTGCTGCTGCAGCCGATGCAGGTCTCCTTATACTACAGCGCCCACTCCGCCGACTTCTCTTTATGAGGCTTCGGAGCTCCATATATATATATATATATATGTATATATATATAATATATATAATATATATATATATAATATATATAATATATATATATACAAATACATAAAGAACTAATATGCCTAATATATATATATATATGTATGTATATAGACAAGTACATAAAGAGCTAATATGCAATATATACATATATGTAGTATATATAAGTGTATACGTATATATATATATATTTACATATATATATATTATAGGTATATATATACATACATATATATATATGTATATATATATATATATATATATATATATATATATATATATATATATATATATATATATATATATATATATATTTGCATGCATGCGTTATCTGCATGCAGTGGGACTTCGAGTCTGTGTTTTCTGCAGTTGCTGCTGGCCGGCTGAGGCTGCTGCAAAAACCAAAAACTAAAATTCGATTTGTTTCTAAAGACAGTTGGAAGTGACTTCTTTTTTTGATTTGACTTTTGAAAAAGTTCTCCAAAGAAATCCTTTTCTCCCTTTCTCAAAGGGAACGCAATAGGCCTAAAGTGGCACTCCTTAGCTAGCTAGCTAGCTAGCTAGCTAGCTAGCTAGCTAGCTAGCTAGCACCCTAGGCTCGCCTGGCTAGCCAAGTAGCTCCGCCAGTAGCTAGCTGGCCAGCTAGCTGGCTAGCTAGCTAGCTAGCTAGCTAGCTAGCTAGCTAGCTAGCTAGCTGCATTTTCAGCTTCCATGCTGAAAGAGGCCAGAGCTCGCCAGCCCTCTGTGGGGCCAGAAAGGATTGTTTTTAAAACAGTTACAAAAAAATAAAAAGCCGCAGTGAGACAAAGTGCCTAAAGTCTGCTGCTGGCCTACTGAGATAGGAATTCCAATCTGCTGCTGTTTGCAGTTTGGATAAATATTAATAATTCAAATTCTTTTATTTCTTCAGTCACGCAGCACCCTGAGAAGCAAACAGACTGTGCGCACGTTTCGCCAGGTGTACGTACACCTGAACTCTGGCCCGTGAAAGCCCCTCAAAAGCCACCCTGAATAACTTTGCGAATTACTTTTCATTTTTTGTTTATTTTTGTCCATTCAGATCTTTCTTTTCGATCTTTTCCTGCTGACCTGTATATAAAAGTGGCAATCTTTATTTGGTCGCTGCGCTTGCCGTCTTCGCTGCAGCAAATGTCTAAAAACATGTCCACTTGTTCTTCTGTGAGCTTAACCCCCATACCTGGCAGCAAGATGAGAAACAAAAAATAAAAGTTCAAAGAAATAAAACTTTATTTGCCGAACTAGGAGGGGGAAATCTACAGAAAAAGACATGTTGCTCACAAGTGGTGTGCAGCAGCTGCATGTTTGCGTGGAGTGCTTTTTTAAATAAATAAAAAGCTGCTGCTGAAACAGAAATAATGAAAATGCTGAGGCAGTCACACAAGAGAAGTTGTCTATTTAAATAAAATGAAGAGACAGAAGAGAAAATAAAGACATGTGTCAGGCGTCGCTGGTGTCGATACACTGGAGATGCACTCTTTCTTCCCGTGCTACGAATAAGAAGCAGAAAAGTTTCAAAATGTCCAACAAAAGAGTTAAATAATGGACAAAAGAGTTAAATAATGAACAAATAAAACGAAATCACAAAACCAGAAAATGGAGAAAAGGGGATAGATATCCACAGAGCAACAAATCGCCACGCAAACAACGGCAAGCAACTGAGGACTTATCCACTTAGCAAAACTTTAAGCTGCCAGAAATGAAAACTCGGGAGAAAAATATAAAATAAAAAGAAAAATATAAAAAAGAAAAACACACCTAAGTTTAGCAGCATGTCCCGCAGAACTGCCCTGGGCACGGACTTAGCGCCTGGAGGCGTTAATTTGCGGAGAGCCAAAACGAGGGCTCTTTCGATGGCCACATCGTTGTAGACCACTTGACCAATGGTCAAGAGGTCTTCGTAGTCGAACTCGCCTCGATCTGCGTATTCTGGAGAATTAAAACAGAAAATAAATCACAAAAAGTCAGGAAACCTGCGTTGGTGAAGTCCGAGAAGTTCCTGGCTTGCAAGGCGAGAATAAAGGGGGATAAAGGGGAAAAAACGGAGACGGGGAAGCTAAAATGAACTAAAATAGTGGAGTTATGAAAGAATAAAACGAAACAAACAAACTAAATTAACTCGCAATCAGAAGATGGAACAGTTTAAAGGAACAAAAGTTGCATCGAGTTCGCCACTCGCCTGCCTCCAAGGCCTTCTGCTCTCTTCTTGAAAGACAGACTCCGATGGACTTCAAAAGGTACTTCATTTCGGAGACATCCAACTTTCCCGTTTTGTCTTTGTCGAAAGCATGAAAAGCCACTCGCAGTTCTTGTCGCTGCGTTTCACAAACGAAACTTAATGGGAATTCGCATGCATTAGCTTTCCCTCTGCTTCCAGCGATGATTACTTGAATTTAATTTCAAATTGTTTTATGATTGTCCTCGGAAATTTCTATCAACTGCTTCAACGAATGCACACAAGCCCAGAAGAAGTCCTTTTTCGCGTGTCTCGGAGGCAGTCACAGCGGGTGAAGGGGGGGTTAAGAATTGGAAAGAGATCAAAATTTACTTTCAAAACTGTTTTTGAGCACTTTTAGATGCTTATTTAATTCAATTAGTTTGCCAATTTATATATATATTGATTAGACATTCACTTTGACCAGACCTCCCTGTGTCGGGGCTATGGGAGGAAGTGTGGATTGGCGACTGGGGTGTCCTGTGGCCGTTCCCCAATAAATTTGAATCTTCTTCTTTTAAATTTCTCTAAATATGATGTTAAAATAATAAAGATGAAGAAAAAGTGGAGGTAAGTAAGCCTGAGGACTGGTGAGTGGGCGGTGGCTTACTCGCTGAGACGACAGGCCGAAGGGGGTACTGGACATCCTGGCCGGTGAAAGCTTAAAAAATTAAAAGCTTAAAGTTATTAGAGGCAATTCAAATTAATAAATTGAATAAATTAGGCAAAGAAATGGGGCAGCAAAGGCGAACCCGACACATGATCGGCCCAGCAGTCCCACTGGACCACAGCCATCATTGGCTGCAGGACACCAGGGCCGAATGGAGAGCTGTCCACAACTTCGTGTGCAGCCCACACAAAATCAAATGCTTTCTCGAAAATAATCACAGATTCTTTTGAATTAATACACTCATTTGATTCATTAATTGAGCTGTTTGATTATTTTCTTCGCAGTGAAGATCTGCTTTCATTGCTGCCCGATTCGCGGAGTGGCTGAGCGCCCTGCACTGAACCCTCTACACAGCTAAAAGCACTCAGTTTAGCTAAACTCTGGCTCAGAAAATACTAATAAATAAGCCAGAAGGTTACTTTGAGAAGTTTACTCCCCTATATCTGGGCCCGTGGCACATGGTCGCTTGTTTTCAACTTTGTATGTGCCTTTTTTGCATGTCTAATGCCTCTCTTTTCTGGGCCGTGTCACTATGTTCACATTTTAGGGATTTGTACCGTACTGTTGTGTGCTGGAAAGTGGCCCCTTTCAAGCCTTTGAGTTGCGTACGTTTTTACCTTAAGATGAAAATAAGAACATTGTATTTTTCGGAATTCCGTGGAATGATAGGCTCACCACATTATCGGGCATTGTGGCTGCACTTTGTGTGCATTTACACTCTAAGTTTCAATACTAGTGAGTTTCACTTTAACTTACCCAGCAAGCCACGACGCGCCGTATTCCGCCGCCCCCCTCCAGCCCTTAAGGACTTTACCACTTGTTTCCGTTGAAGTGCCTCTGTTGGCTTCTTTTTCTAAAGGAAAAGCTTACTCCCTGGCCACTCACAAATCAGAACTGCTTTTCATAAGGCATTTTGACATCACAGGGACATATATACATGTATGAGGACACTTTACTTTTCACAGATACATACATGTATCAGGACACTTTACTTTTCACAGATAATAGTAGGCAGTCGATCTAAGCCTGGGCGCTTCAGGCCATCGCCAACAGTGCCACCAACTGCGAGATAACTTGAAATTAAAACCTAATTAGACTTATCAAGACAAACAGAGCTAGCCAGTGCTTCTCGGGGCTAGTAAGCCAGCAAGCTACTGTGTCTGGCGCGCCTAGCCAATGCGTCTGTTGGCCGGCAGCTCGGCCTAATACTCGTGCTGTATTTTAAATGCCACTTAAGGATAAAGTACTTGTTTTTTTCCCTTTCACTGCATCCTGGGTGAACAAAATGTGAAATTTAAACCGCGTTTGGTTTCTGCCCAGGCTTGCATGGTGGCATGAAATTCGACATGAAATTCGACATGAAATTCATGAAATGCGACATGAAATTTGACATGAAATTCGACATGAAATTCGAGTTGAATTGCATTTTGTTCTTCTCATTTGGCCAGGCCAGCATTGCTGCCCAGAGGGCGGGGGGGAGTGAAAGCCTCACGCGCCCATTGCGCCCCTGTCAGCGCGTTGGCTGACTTCAACGAAAACTTCCTCCAGAGTGGTCTCAGAGACCATGTAGGCCTCCACAGCGAAATGCGCCTGCAGCAGCAGCAGCAGCAGCAGCAGCAGAAGCAACGATCGGAAAAGCAGCAACAGGTGCGCTGGCAGCGAACAGCAGCAGCGTAAATCGCCGCCCGCTGTTCAAGTCCATTGAGACTGCTTGTGGTGTAGGTCTCAAAACCCGTTTGTTTTCACTTCCCGTATTTCATTGAGCCTAGGTCATGAAATGTTTAAGCCTCGTTGCATCAAAGTGTAAACAACACACGACAGGCAGTGTTATAGGTTTGCAAGGCGCAAATGCCTGTGTTACCCTTCCCCTTCAGGCTTTAAAACACCAGTAAGGGAAACTTGCAGTTGCAAATCTGTTGCTGAAGTCTTCGAGCTCACCTTGACTGCTTCAACTTCGCGGAATATCGTAGCAAGAGACGCATCCCCCTTCACGATGGAGGCAGTGACTTTGTAGGCCATGCGGTGGAGCACTTGGAGTGCGGGCAGAGCTTTCTGGAGAGTGCTGACAAAGCGGCGGGGCAGTGAAGGGTCTCTCGCAACTGCTGCTGCCTCGAAGACGCATTCAATCTGGTAGCCGTGGCCGTAGTGGGACCTCAGCTCAGCAGAGGTGCCCAGACATATCATTTTGCCCCTGTGGATAATGCCCAGCCGGTCGCTCAAGACCTCGCACTCCTCCATGGAATGGGAAGTTAAAACCACTGCCTTGCCAGTGAGTTGGCTATTCTTGGCGTCCTCAATCATCCTCCACAGCACCTGCCGGCTTTCCGGGTCCACTCCACAAGTGGGCTCGTCTAGAAGCAGCAAGTCCACTTCTCCCAGCATGGCGATGCCCAAGCTCAGTTTTCGCTTCGTGCCTCCTGAATAGGACTTGACTAAACTGTGCATGTGCTTCTTGCAGCCAATCGCATCGAAGAAATCCGAGCA